CAGCAGACTGAATCTCTGGGGAGATAAAACATCCCCATGTCTGCTGCTGTTGTTGCTGCTGAGTCTATCAGGACTACCTGCTGCTTCTGCAGCAGCAGCAGCAGCAGCAACAGCAGCAGCATCGAGTCGCTTACTACTACTACTACTACTACTGCTGCTATTGCTGCTGCTGCTGCTGCTGCTGCTGCTGCTGCTGCTGGTGTTATTATTGTCTTGTTCTGTTTCTTGTGTGTTTTCTTGTTGCTGATGTTCCTTGAGTATCATTTCTTCAATTTCTTCTAATTGTTGCTGTTTTTCTTTTTTTTCTTGCTGTTTTTGCTGCTGCTGCTGCTGCTGCTGCTGCTTATCTGCCTCTATTATACCTCCTCCCTTAGGGGATAATGTTAATAAGGATGTATCTAATGGTCTTCCTATCCCTACATATTTATCAGGGGCAGGAGCTATACCTGCATATAAAAATTGCTGAAATAATGGTAAATCACCTGCAGCACCAGCAGCAGCAGCAGCAACAGCAGCAACAGCAGCAGCAGCAGCAGCAGCAACAACAGCAGCAGCAGCAAACACACACACATATATTTATATCCATGCATGCACACATTGGAGAAGATCATGTTATTCATAAAGAAAGGGATAGAAAGGGACTGAAGGACAAAATATAATAAAGGGTTTAGCTGCTGCTGCTGCTGCTGCTGCTGCTGCTGCTGCTGTTGCTGCTGCTGTTGCTGCTGCTGTTGCAGTTCTTACCATCTCCAAAGGCTGTAGCAGTTCGTCTTCTTTCTCCAGGTGTAAAGACAGACTCCCTCATGGGATCCACGACAGCAGCAGGACCAATGCTGCTGCTGCTGCTGCTGCTGCTGCTGTCTGGTCTTAATGGTGATCTTCTTATGTCTTTAGAAGATTCACTGCTGCATGGAGACACCAAAGATAACCGCGAGGGAGCAGCAGCAGCTTGCTTCTGCGATTCTGCTGCTGCTGCTGCTGCTGCTGCTTCTGCTTCTGCTGCTGCTTCTGCTGCTGCATCTGCAACATCTGCTGCTGCTGCTGCTTTTTCTGCTGCTGCATCTGCAGCATCGGCTGCTGCTTCTGCATCCACAACATCTCGAGCTGCTTCTGCTGCTGCTGCTGCATCTTCAGCATCTGCTGCTGCTGCTGCATCTGCAGCATCAGCTACTGCTGCTGCTGCCTCTGCTACTGCAGATGCATCTGCTGCATCTCTTATATTTGTTTTTGCTGCCTCTGCTGCTGCAACTGCTGCTTCTGCTGCTGCAACGGTTGCTGCAGCATCAGCTACATCTGCTGCTGCATTTGCATCTGCTGCATCTGCTGCAGCTGCATCCATTGCTGTTGCACCTGCTGCTGCAGCAGCAACATGCGCAGCAGCAGCAGCAGATATATCTCTATCAGGGGACATCCTGTCCCTATCTCCTTTAGCACTTTCCTTCTTATCTCCAGTCGCAGCAGCAGCAGCAGTAGGAGCATTAACACCTGCTGCAGCATTCACAGCAGCAGCAGCAGCAGCAGGATTTGGTACTGCTGCTGCTGCTGCTGCTACCTCTGCCTGTGTTAATGGAGGTTGACCACATACACGCCTTATACGATTAAAAGAAGATAAAAGACGAGGACTTCTTGATGGAAGTTTTAATCGTTCAAATTCACATAATAATATTGGTAATATATCCTCCACTGTATACACATACACCCTAAACCCTAAACCCTAAACCCTAAACCCTAAACCCTAAACCCTAATTGTAATAATAATAATAATAATAATTGTAATAATAATAATGATGGAGGAAAAAGAGAGAAATTACTTATATATATAATATAAATTGATAAATATTGCTAAACCCTAAACCCTAAACCCTAAACCCTAGAGGAGGAGGAGGAATAAGTCGCACCTTTTTCTTTATTAAATGCTGCCTCCGTCAATAATTTAACAACAAGAACAATAAATTGCACCATCAATACATTCAAATCCTTCTCCTCTGCTGCTTGGGCCTGAACAACACACAAACCCTAAACCCTAAACCCTAAACCCTAAACCCTTAAGTCTTAGGGTTTGAACCCCTATAAATAGGCCTAATAAAGAAAAAGGAGGAAAAAAGAAAAAGGGTTTAGAGAAAAAGAAATAAAAAGGGCATTAAGGAAAAGAAATATAATTGTATATTAAGGAAAAAGAAATAAAAAGGATAAAAAAGAAAAAGGAAATAAAAAAGGATAAAAAGGAATAAAAAAAAGGGTTTTCTTTTTTTCTGTACCTTTAAGGAAACAATTTCTTCTAATATAACTTGTAGACTGTAATCAATCTTTGAGTGTTGCTCAGCCAATCTGCATGCAAAAAACACTAATTAGGGTTTAGGGTTTAGGGTTTAGGGTTTGACAAGATCTATATGCATGCAAAAGACTCTTGCAGGTAGAAAAAGGAAAGACACACACAACAGCAGCAAACAGCAACAGCAGCAGAAGGAAGTAAAGAACAGCACCAGCAGCAGCAGCAGCCAGCAGCAACAGCAGCAGCAGGAACAGCAGCAGGAAGTAAATAAAAAGAGAATGATTTACTTTTGCAGCATCATTGTCCCCTCTGGTTCTTGTATATTTGTTTCTTTTTTTTCTTCTTTTTTTCGTCCTTTTTCTTCCTTTATTCCCTACATAAAAGAAGACAAACAAAAGGAGAAAAAAAGATATAAAAAGAGGAAATAAATCTATATGCATGCATGCATGCATATAGCAGCAATTAAGGTATTAAAGAAAAGAATAAAAAAAAATAAATTTACCTTGCTTGTTTTCTCCTCTAATGGCGCTGCTGTTGGCCCCTTTGGAGGGCTTTCTCTGCAGCACAGCAGCAACAGCAGCAACAGCAGCAGCAGCAATAGCAACAGCAGCAGCAGTAGCAAAGGTACACAAGAAAACACTCTCTTGCTGCTGCTACTTCACATACAGCAACTCAATGGTGGGCGACCGTCTGCTGCCTGTGCTAGCTACAACCTGCTGCTGCTGCTGCTGCTGCTGTTTTTCCTGCTCTAACTGGTGTTCTTGTTCTTGCTGCTGGTGCCTCTACTGCAGCAACTGCTGTTGCTGCTGTCGGTGCAGCAGCAGGAGGAGCAGCAGCAGCAGCAGATATACGTACCGCTGCACGGTGCTATCCTCTGTCTTAAGAGGGAGACGATCATAAACAACATCAAAGTTATATTCATTTCTTTCCTTCATCATCGTATTTTTATCCAAGACAAACATTACCTTAACTATATTATAACACACCTGCTGCTGCTGCTGTTGCTGCTGCTGTTGTTGCTGCTGCTGATGGTGGTCTCGATGCTGATGCTGATGCTGCTGCTGATGATGATGCAGTTGCTGTTGTTTTTATTGCTGCTGCTGGTGCTGTTAAATGTCTAAAGATATATATTCTCCTGTTGTTGCTGCTATTGCTGCTGTTGGGGTGTCTCGGGAGGTCGAAGCGATGAGTCCGCTGTTGTCTGTCCGGTGGGTAATTCAACTTTACACAGATGAAGGGGGGGAAGGAGAAAAATATCCTTTTTGCCTGTATAAAAGGGTGATATGTTAAATAAAATAAAGAAATATACACAAGATAAGCTATAAAGAATCCCCTATAGCAAAGAAACAGCAACTATATATACCCACCAAGCTTATAATGCAAGTAAGCAAGGAGGGTGGTACAGAAGAAGACTGAAGAAGAACACGACGAGCTCGCGAAGGAAAGAAGGCTAAGGAACTGTTAAAAGGAAAAGAAAATATACAAACGAAGACGCAATAAAAGAAGAAAAAGACGAAGAATACGATGTTATGCGTAAGAAGAAATGATGTGCAGGAAGGAGGCAGCAAAACAAGAACAGCCCGGTGGTCGGGGCGCCGATGTTCCTTGAGGAAGGGGTACTTTTTACTGATTTTTTCTTGTGTTTTATATTTAAAATAGAAACCACTCTCTAATAAACAGAAAAGTGCACTTAAATATGGCCAAAAATGGAGAAGATTCGCCGCAAAATGATGAACAAACATCAAGATCTGACCTGCAGATACACCGCAACAATCCTACCGATTCATATTCTTGCACTATGTTGGTTATCATCATTTATATTTAGCTTTCTTTAATTCTTTTTCAATAAATCCTTTTTAAATACTTTGGTTTTCTTCAGAATGCAAAGGATTCCTTCATTACTTTCTTTATAAGAGGAATATTCCTTCATATTAACTAGATAGACAACAACAGCGCTTGCCTCTTGTGGGTATATTATTAATAGAAGGTATAGGGATACTTCTTGTTGATTGACGATTACTGTAAGTATATTTATTCGCCTTTTCTTTTTAGTCTTCTATTATTTAGCCATTATACAATAATTTTGTCCCTTTTACCCCTAACTAGCCTCCTGTTACCATACAAATACGAGTGAGTCGGCAGCGCAAGCAGCAGTGTGTGTGTGTGTGTGTGCGTGTGTGCGTGTGTGTGTGCGTTTCTTTCCTTCTTTATTTTGTTTATTTATTTACTTTTATTTTTTTCTTGTCTTTATTTGTTTATCCATTAATTTAATTCAATTTAATTGTTTATTCTCTCTTATTCTACTTAGGCTTGCATGTGTGGTGGCAATTTATGCTGCTGCTGCTGCCCCTGCTGGTGTTGTTGTTGTTGCTGCTGCTGCTTGTTGTATGCTATTATATAAGTCTCTGCATGCACTAGAGGTTCCTTATCAGCAACTGAGGTGTATAGGCACCTCAAGGGCAATTAGTTGTGCTGCTGCTGCAGTTCTTCTTCTTCCTATTAGGAAGTGCAGCAGCAGCAGGAAATATAATATACTTATTAATAAAAATTAAAAGACGCATGCAGACTATTATAGGTAAATAAGGAGAAAAGGAGAAGAAAAACAAATAAATGAATAAATAAAGACACAACAAGGGGGACAAAGACACAAAAGAATAACACATAATAACAACAGTAAGACAATAAATATCTAGGGTTTAGGGTTTCGCCTCTAAACCCTAAACCCTAAACCCTTATTCGTACAAATAGAGGGTTATTTAGGCAAATAATTAGAATAAGAAACACCTTTAGGGGCCCCTACAGGGGCCCCTGTAGGGGCCCCTGTAGGGGCCCCTTAATGGTTTATTGTGCTGCTTATACACCAGAGGAGAGGTAAATAGAAAAAAGGAGTTCTTTTTTTTTTATTTATGTAAAAGGAAGAAAAGAAAATAAAAAAAGAATTAAATACATTTATTTATTTATTTTTCTTCCTTTTTCTTTTATTTTTATCCATTATACATATACATAATACATATACATATACATATACATATACATATACATATACATATACATATACATATA